ACTGCGGTATTCCGCTGCTCTCGATTCAGTTCTTCCCCATGGTTGTGTTGGCCTGTGACCCGTGGTGTACAGTGCGTGTATGCGATGTGAGGGAGACTGGTATCCCGCTGATGACGCGTGCTTCCACCGCTGCTGCTGTTCCCCAAGGTTGTGTCCGTCTGTGACCCGTAATGGTTTCCAGTGGGTGTATGCTATGTGTGGGATAGCATAGTAGTGTGTACACAGCGGTGTGGGGCACACAGCAGCGTGGGAGAACGAACGCACGAACGGGGTTTTGTACAACAGTGTGCTTGCTCGTTGCTGCTGCACAGCTGTGCCATGTCGCTATGCGATGTGCACACCACAGTGATGGATGGGGCACACCGCCGTGTGGGAGCACACAGCAGTGGAGTGTGAGGGGAATTCAGTTCGGAAGTTCTTGCCGGAATCTGTGCAGCAGCCGTGCGCTACTACATGCATGGTTTGAAAAATTGGGGCCGCGGCGTAATTTCAATGTAACTTTTCCTTTTGCCCAACAATCACCCGGGGGTTCTGTTTGAGGGTTTTCAAAAAATCAGAACTTTGTGACACTGGCTCGGATTGCAAAAAAGCAAAAAGTTCCGGGTAGCTCATGAGCTGGAGGAACAATAGTGTAAATGATCGAAACTTTGGATACGGCAGTAGCATGCTGTGTGCCGTGTAAATTGTTGTTTCGCCAGAAACTAAAAAAATAAGCGAAAAAAGACCGAGTGGTGAGATTTTTTTTTTCTCTTCAAAACAGCCCTCACAGAATTTGTGCTTTTACTCCAACTCGTGGTCACACGGAGGGTTTTCCCCCTGCCCACCCTTCCTGCGGTGTTTTGCCTTCGATTTGCGAGGAAAGAGCAGCACTTTATTCCCTCTGTGTACACACGTACTAGGGCTTCTCACCGAGGCCAGAAACGGGTGCAAGAGAAAAAAACTCCCTTTGCAACAAAGCTCGCTTACGCCAGGATTCGAATCCCTGCCTCTGACCACTAGCGGGTTTTCGAGAATATCAACTAGACTACCGCCCATTTCCCTCCTTGCCAATTTAACCAACAAGTGGATGTAGAATGCGAGGAATTTCACTGGAGTGAAGTATCGATTCCGATCACATTTTTCACATGATTTAAGTATCGAAAGTTCGGACAAGATTTCTTTATTGTTTTTTTCGTGATACTTGTACAATGTAGTGCTGACTGAAATTCCAGTTTGCAATTGGGGAACGCGTGACACGTTAAGGTATAACAGGGTAAGAAACCGGTGGTACCGCAGGGGCACATCGTTCATGAGGTCCTCAGAATGCGTCAGGCAAAACAATCGAAGTCACGGGTTGGTTGTGACAACATCCGTAAGGGGTGAAAGTAGATCGAGGCTCGGATGTAGGTGACGGTAAGCAAGACATAGATATGCGTAGGCATACCTACATCGACGTCACAGCAACAGAACATTACCTCCACGTAGATGCAGGTTCGCAGGTTCGCAGTGGGAAATTGAAAAGGTGCGGCATGGCTTGGGATTGTTGTAAAACTTAACTATTTGTTGAATTGCAACCCTGAATCCCGGGGCACATCTCCACACGAGTAGCGACGCTGCGTGTGCGTGCGCCAACAAAAGATGATCCGATCGCTGTGTGGGACTACAGCAATCATCAATGCAGCACCAGCAACACTAGACAGACGTTCCGAGAGAGTGCTGGAATCCAGCGAGCTGCCAATGAACCGTTCTTCCATTTTTTGGAACAAGAGAACCCAGAGTAGTCCACAATACGCAATGCATGGCGAAAGGTGCTTGTTGTGACATGGCGTAAATGTATCTCTGTTACAATAATATGCATGGGGGGTTGCTAGATATGTCACCTGGAAATCCACATACACGTTGTTCCGAGATATATTTCATAAAGTAAAGGTTCGTCACAAAAACATCGGAGCGACAGAAAGAACACATTCCGCATCTACTTGGGAGCGAATTTTTTCGTGCGGTTAGATCTCGTGGCACAGCAGTGCACAGCAGGGCACGCTACGCGCGGGGCGCGATGCGTACGTTCCTTCCGTCCCGGAGCCGAAACCCAAAACAAAGACGAAGAGTAGTGGGAGGTAGACAACCCGCCATACCCATACTGTGACTGCCTGTGCCTCCGTTTCGCATGATTCTGACCAACGCATGATTATGACATCTATAGCAAAGATACAGGCCCGTGAGTTGACCAGAGTGCTTGATTTCTGGGATAATATGCCGGCGGTTCAGCGCGATAGCACTTGATACAGCGCACGGCACGGCGCCCTACGCTCCGGACGTGCTGAGTACATTATTTCCGTCCGGCAGGTGAAAACGAATTACAGCAGTGGCGCCGATATAATGGCATGTGTGGCATAAGGAAAATCATGCCCATATTCAGGGCAATGTCACTATTCCATCAAGTGCCAATAATGCCACTATTGCCACTATTGAAGAGGATAAGCTTTGATCCTTACGCTACGGATATGTGTTCGTTGGATGTTGACTCGTAGGCGTTGTGTGTGCATCTAGGGTCCCTCCTTTGTTGTGTACACCAGGATCCGCGTGAAAACGCATGTGTCCGCCAATCACGTGTGCATTAACACTCGATCGTCCTTGTGACAGCGAGGCCTTGGGCGGTCGCAATCTACCTTGGTGTGTAGGCGAACTACAGAAACAAAGTTTGTAACATGGATTTGTCTTTGCCCGGCGATCCATGATGACGTTCAACACAATCAAAACACACACAACAACATATTGGTGAGATTGAGAGCGAAGTACGAAATTGAGAGCGAGAGCCATTTCTTGGGAAGTAAGGGGCGGGCTCCTCGAAGAAGCGGCGGAAATTGAAGGTCTCATCAGCAGCGTCACGAGCATATGCGTGTCATCGTCATCGGATGCTGCAGCTAGGAGCTAGACGGGTTGCTAGATTTCCCCAGATTGGCTATTCCTGCCTCAAACTGTTGCAGGGCGGCTTGGCCTCGGGCGGTGGGCTCTGCTGTAGCTTCTGCTCGCCGCTGTAACTCCACATCGAGAGACTCCAAGAGAATGAACAGGGTATCTGCTTGTAGCTACGGGCTGGCCCTGTAATTCAAGCTACACAGCAAGCTCCACCTCTCAGAATAGTCTAGCTGCAGCGCATCGCGCAATCTCGCTCTCAATCAGATGCTTCGCTCTCAATTTCACCCATATGCTGTTACATGTTGAAAACATCAATGTACACGAAACCAACTGGAGCAACCAAGTTGAAAACGCGGAACACTCCCCACTCCGGCGTATCGATTTGCGCCAACAGGCGTCCAACCAATGCCGCTATATTTGACTGGGTGATGGCTCTGATGTCCAACTGCCGTGCCGGTACAGCGGAATGTGCTCCGAAGAATGCAATCCTTGACTCACGGACGAAATACCCGGCCTCGCTCGCCAATGCCACACAATTCCGTGTATTCTTCTAGAGGACCAAAAAGCGCACACAGTTCCGCGAACGACGGCGGCGCCTTCATCCCTCCACCCCCCTCTCTCTCACACTCTTCGGTGTTGTCTAGCTCTGAATAGCTCGCGCATGCCAGCATCATACGTGTGGCGTGGCGCCCGTTGCTGTCAGTGTCGTGCGCGTGTTTCTAATATTAGCATCGACCGCGCTCACCAGCTGACCAGAACAATGACGTCAGCATCAGTGCGGTTGAAAACACAAAACACTTTTAAGTGCCATTATCTGGGACCCCGGGAGGGAGCAGCATGGAGGAGGCGAAGCTATTCTCCGGATGTAAAACAGAAACGGTAGCAACAGAAGAGAACTGCACGTGTGTACCAACGCTGCAACCTTGCACTCGAGTGTGTGCGTGGTGCGTGCAAACACACGGGAGCTCCGACCTTTTCAATTGCCTCTATTGGCGGGATAAGATGCCCAGCATGCTACTATTGAGGGCCCCGTCCTTGATAGCGGTCCAATGCCACTATATCGGGTTGACATTGTAACAAGAGTTTTGATGCCACTATCTCGGGGAATTCACAATTCAGGGTGCCATGTCGGGACCACTACCGTGGTTTGAACGGCGGACCCCGAAGTCGGACGCACATAGTGCAGTACGCGCAAATCGCAAAAATACAATGCTTTAGATAGACCACGAGGCAGGAATAGATACGGAGTTTTTGTCCGTGACAGAAACTGTTGTTGCGAGGGTGTCCTACCACAAACCTTCGTATGTTTCCCTTTTGATCTCATTTTGGTGATGGCTTCTGCATTTTGTACATAACAAACACACTCCCAGTGGAAACCGTTGGCAGTGGAAAGACAATCTTTCCTTGCCTACCGTGGCCTCGAAAGTTATGTACGGTACCTCGACGAAGAGATATCCTGCCAGATCACCTCTACATCAACTATCCGCGGGGAAGCAGCGCACAATGCCTTCCAAGACAGTTCTGGAATACTCTGGGTTAGCTCGCTATCACGGAGTCCTTTTGACCACGTGCACTTCGCGAATAAATTTTTGTCGAGTACTAATTACCGTCAAGACAACCATATCAATTGCACCGAATGGTCGTCGCCAGAATATCCCTGACGCGCTGAAGTCATGAAAGCAATGAAGGTGCTAATATTAACCCGTTGCCACCCAACACAACGGTCTGGCCAATTATTCGAACCCGGTGTGATGCTGTTGTCTTTTTCGATCAATACGTCCAAGCCACGGTTAGACGCGAGCCAAAGCCACCGTTAGACGCGAGTCGACAAGAGAAAGCGAGACGGAACCCATATGCGCGATGAACGTCGAATTGAAAGGAGAGACAAAACGTGTCCGGACTCCGTCAGGCCGATGGGGGCAATGAAGTAAACATGCGCGCCACCTGCAAATGTCACCTGCAAAGGGTCACTGTCGAAACTCAACTCGCTCAGAAAACATGGTTACATGACTTACCCAGATAATTTTAGCTTGCGTCTTTCTTCCTGCACCCAACATCTGACGTTGTCCATAATCGCATTATGCCAAAACACGCCATCTTACCTTGGCTAAAAGGTGGTCTGGTATCTCCCCCTCAAGCGCAAATTGCATGGAGGCCGGGCTCTTGATCAGCAGCTTCCCGGTACCCATGACAAACGACGCATCTGTATTGCCGATGCCCGTCGCGAACTGCCCGAACGCACCCGCGTTGCACGTGTGCGAGTCCGTCCCAAACAATACCTTATCAGGCAGGGAGGTAAAGCACAGACGCATCAAGTTGTTTAGCCGGGTTTCGGCGGCATACGCCGCCACATGAGTGACGCGAGCCCTGAAATGAATGGCAATTGGCGCCGGGCCTCATGAATTGGTATTCTGGCGGTCATGCGTTCCCTGACGAAAAACAAAACCCGAAAGCGCAACCGATGGCGTATTACAAACATACAAAAATACACCAATAGACGGAACTTTATGCTGCATTGCTCTCCACACGTCACCAAGTGCCCCAAGCTGCTTCTATACTCCCGTGGTCTGCACTGCTCAACAGAGTGAAAACACGGCTGCACGCAGTTCGGTGGGCAGGCGAGGGTGGTTTTGGCATGAGTTCATCACGAAGGATCTTCAAGACGTTTCCATCCGGAACCCTTGCAATGTCAAGCATACACCAACGGCGGAGGAACATAGACACAGACACAGACGCACAACCGCCGAACGCTCGCCACCTCACAGTACTGCAGTCGGCGAAAATGAACAACGGTTGCGGGAAACGCAAACGATAGACCCATTGGGCAGCACCCGCGGCGTGAAATGGGCCGGGACCGCTGCACAAGCAGCCCGTAATCTTCTCCAAAAGGTCATAGGTTCAGACAAATAAGCTCAGTTGGATAAGCTGTACAGTCCGGATGGACGAAAGGCTTCCATGGTTTAAGACAAGGAGGTGTCACCGTATGTTCTCCTCAAACCTGAAAAAAGCAACCATCCATAACAAAAACACGACCAACACAAAAAATAAATACATGGGGGACAATTTCCATACTTAAGCCAACTACGATTTTTTTCTACAACCAACGAGGGGACAAGCGGCTTGGGAGATATGTTTACAGCAATTAGGCGGCTGAGGAGAGGCATAACAAAGCATATCAAAGACAGTACCAGCTTACACAAGCAGAGTACACCAATGTTTCCCACGCGCGTTCCGCTGTAGTCACGACTACGGTGCGGTACACGGACGTTCGAATGCTGTGTCCCCGAAGTGTTCCCATATGGGCGTCCGGCACACGTGCAGATTTCATGACATCATCGACGACAAGGTTGACTGAAGCCTACACGGCCTCGGTACTCTTAACGGATTTTTGGGGCCAAGAGAGTTGTTCGAAAGGGAAAAAAAATTGCCCTTGACAGATGTTTAACGAAGGTCTGACGCAAAATCTGTCCCTGAAACGTGTTGAGGCAAGGAAAAAATCTTGTCAAAACTTGACGCCAAATATCATCTCCACATTATTGGTGGCCTCGAACACGGGAAACACAACACACACAACTACTTGGCCGGGGAGTAGGGCACCGAGCCGTCCAATGGCGTTAAGCGATAACTCTCCGCGAGGAAAAAATGTCAAGTCGTTCAATGCAACAACCTTGACCATGCTGCTGAGAGGTAAAAACAGTGATGAAGATCGACGTCGACGAGTGCTCGAACGCGCCCTGCGCGCAAGAAAAGAGTACCACACGGTTCGCGTTTGAAAGGACAAACGCAAGACCTGTGCCCATGGTGACTAGAGGTCTAGTCTATCCATCCAGCTTGCGTTCGGCCACGGCGAGGCAGAATTGAGAGGCCTACCAAAAGAGGTACGTACACCTGTTTGGCGAGCGTTGTTATGTTTGAGGCCTGTTTTCTCTACTTGTAAGGCCGAAAAAAAAAATGCGGTAAGCGTGGCCTTTACAAGGAAGGTTTCAGTCCTGCTGCTTACCTGCGGGCGGTACGCAGACAGGTTCAGCTCAAGCTGGGGTCAGAGCAAACCAGTCAGCATTACACATGTACAGGAGTGAAGATCTGGGAACAATCTGGGACATCAAGTAACAGCCAATTCAGCCGGTTATTGAATCGTGCCATCCTTTAACGCATGCCTCATGCTTTGGGCGGTATTGTTGCACTGATGGCAAAACGATGGACACGATGCGGGAAACGAGTCGGACCATCGTGGCTTTGTTGATTCTGCACCATGTACACTTGAGGTGCAAAAGCTATTTTGAAACTCAGGAACGGGCAAGGGGATATCCTGGTGCAACAATAAACCGCACATGGCGACCACATGACACAAACGTTCAATAAGTCAACCGCCAGCTGCGTATCACTCATCAAATGAACTGTCAACATCGACATTCGGGGGTTCGGGCGGCCCGCTCGAAGCTGTGCCCGTTGACTACCAACAGCAGGGACACACGACATTAAGGGTAATTGTTCAACATGAAAAACAACAAAACATGCCTGCCCAAGGGGTGGATGATATGCACGTCACCCCGTGGCAGTTGGTAACATCGAAACTGATTACACTATTTGGATCGCGGGTTAGAATTCTCTAGACTGAAAAATGGGTATTAAGATGCGAAAAACACGCAGTTGTGACTGCACACAAAGAGAGCGAAGGAGATGCTAAGGCGTAAAAAATCAAAGGCAAGCCCCGCGGGGGAAAACGTGGAGAAAACAAAATCTCCAAGTTTTGACTTTCCCACCGGGTGACCCGTGGTACAAAGAGTACCAATACGTGCACAATGGCAACCGTACTGGATGGGACGATATTTAACACATCGCATGATTTCCGTCACATACTCCGCACAGCTTCGGCAACAGTAACATTACATCTGTTTCTTACCTCTCCAGGTCTAGTGTGGCCCTCCTGGGCGAGAGCAACGTGGCAAACACCTTTGTAGTCCGGGTTTGCTTTGAAGTTGCCGCGGTCCGTGATGTCGTAGAAGTACTTGATATCCTAGTTTAAGCGACAGGAGTACCCGGAATGGCCGAAAGGTTCGCACGAGTCGTTGCATCGCGCCGACGGTTGCGAGAAGCCATCAGAGAGAAGGATGTTAGCTGGGGTGGTCCAGTCGTGCGATGAAGCACTGATTGGGTCGATCTGCACTACGAGCAACGGCACGTTTCCTTGATTGTCGGAAACGCCGAAGGAATACCAAAATCTTGGAGCCTCCCGTCATCCACGATGTCGCCATTTGACCTGACGGACAAGCCTCAGCTCCCTCAGGGATTGCGGTACAAACTTTTCGTTTTCAGCCGTGAGCAACAGTTTCAGTCATGATTGGCATATTGTTTTGAGCATTCCATTGCGCTAGATCGCAAAAAGACGAACTGTACAGATTCGAGAGAGCACGCCCAAAAAATGCCTCCAACGACCACTTCGAGAAAACACGATCGACTCGAGAAACATTCGACCTTGGGTATATTTAGAAAGGGGGAATACAATGCACGCCACTTCGCGCATTCCTTTCGGGCATCACCACATGTTAACCTTTGGTAACTTTTATACGACATACACTATCAAATACCCAACATACACACGGGTAGGGTACATATGCCAAGATTTTCATGTCGGGTGCCATTAGCACCATTGTTTTTACCCCACAACACCCTTCGTCCCCCTCGGTGTTTGCCATCGGGGTTGGGTTTTCGTCGCTTGGCAATGACGTTGTAAAACAAGCCCCCCCCTCGGTGTTCCCCCCCTCGGTGTTCCCCCCCCCGGTGTTTGCCATCGGGATT